ATTCAATGTATTTTATTTTCAACGGAAATTTCACATTATAAACACTTCGAATACCTAACATTACATTTAATTAAAAGTACCTTATTGATACTATAAACATAATTATGATTAAAAGATAAAAAACTAGATAATTTATATTTATATATAACATTTAATTTATAATTTATACTTAATAAATAAAATATAATATTTAATTATATATGTAAAATGTATATTGGAATATTAAATAAATCCAAATGTAATATTAAAAATATACTGAACTACTGAAGTAATATTTAATAAATGTTAAAAATTTGTAATTATTATTTAATTTGAAAGGTTAGGTACATTGAAAGCAGAAATTATGATAATAAAACAGGTATTAAAATCGTGAGGTATTCATATTTATATGTAATTATATAATTGAATAATAAAATTAATTGGAACTTATCAAGTATCATCGATAACCTGACTTTCCAAAAAACAATATTGAGTATAAGTATAACCCCATAATATTCAAAGCCTCTATTATAACTTTATAATATGGACAAAAAAATATTAACGCATTATCAAGGATCATAGGCGTGTCCACGGAGGGTGCTGGGTATGCAACTGCACCCTCTGCGATTTCAAGTGGCACTATGAATAAAGAAAAATGTTTCAAAAAAGGGGACTAGGGTCCATTAGCCCCTTGGGTACGCAGCAGGTTGCACCCTCTGCGTCAAAGGTCTAGACACGCCTACGTCAAGGACTAGACTACTACACGGTTGTGCAGTCTGTTGCTGTAGTTATATAGTCCGTTGGTACTCCGTGTACATAATATACTACAAGGTTGGACAGCCTGTTATTGTAGTTATACAGTCTGTTGGCAACCAGTGTTCATAATATACAAAACTTCAAAGGCGATAATGTTATCTTAGGTTAGGATACATGTTTATGACTTGCTATATTATACTTCTAATGTGTTACACTATAGAATCATCTAAAAAATATACTTGAAYAGTTAATTTAAATAAAAAAATTGAGTTCAATAGACATTTAACATGATGAGTGGAGTGAATAATGCCAAACCTGAAAAGTGTATTAAGAATAGAAATAATTTATACAGAATCATCATAAGGTAAAGACATATCAATCCTAGTAAATTTTAAACTATAGAAATTATAGAATTTTTATTTAAACTACTTTTTTTGTTTTTTTTTTTAGTCAACTCTTTTATGATGGTTATTCCACAATTGCAAATAGCCTATCAGCCAAAGTAAACGCTAATCCACCATGTTGTCCATCCGCTCGACTCATGAGTCTAGTGACAATAGGTTTACAACACGTAACCGATAGACGAGAAGAATCCMACCAAGAAATAAATTTAAATCCAATTCAGCAATCGTTAATTGGGGWGGGCATTGGTATGTTTACTGGTTTATATGATCTCATACATTTGTGTACTTAATGTTTTACTTGATTTGACTAGACTTGGAATTTGAGACAAATGTTATTTGTACTGCTCCTGAACCATCGCTTTATGAAACTGTTTATGTAACATTCCACAATGGAGCCTGCAGGGCTGGTGCATTTAGTCCTAATGGACAGTTAATCGCAACAGGAAGCTGTGATTCATCAATAAAAGTAATTATATTTTACTACATAAACTGTGATAATTTATTAAAATAACATTTATAGATTTTGGATGTTGAAAGAATGGTGACTAAAACATATGATATCGATAGAACTGATGATCAAGAAAGACAGGRGCATCCATTTATTCGGACTTTGTATGATCATTTGGCAGAAGTGACCTGTTTGGAGTTTCACCCCAACAAGCCAATTTTGGCTTCAGGCTCTCGAGATTGTCTTGTTAAATTTTTTGATTATTCTAAAACAACTGTGAACAAAGCTTTCAAGACAATAAACGTAAAATATTAAATCCAAATGTAATTGTTCTAAAATTATTTTAACCGTACGTAACATTATTACAGGATGTTGAACCGATAACATGTATAAGTTTTCATCCATTTGGAGACCATATGGTAATAGGGACCAATAGCCCAGTCATTAGGCTCTATGATATAAATACGGTTCAATGTTATGTTAGTTCAATTCCTAGTCATCAACATACTGGTCCTRTTACATCAATAAAGTATATAAACAATTATCTTACGTGTTATTCTTATTTAATTATTTGTAAATGTATTGTTTATTATGATGTATTAGGTTTGAACTTGGTTCCAAGTACTTTGTGTCATCTAGTCGAGATGGTTCAATTAAATTGTGGGATGCTGTGTCTAATAAATGTGTTAACACAATTGAAAAAGCACACGATGGTAGTCAAGTGTGTTCTGTGACATTTTCAAGAAAYGGAAAGGTGAAAATATTAATGATTTTATTTTTATAAACATAGGTAGTAATATTAAAAAATTTTCTTTTATCGTTTGYAGTACATCTTATCGGCAGGCAAAGATTCTATAGTGAAACTTTGGGAGTTATCTACTAGTAGATGTCTGATTGTATATACTGGAGCTGGAACAATTGGTAAACTAGTGTTTGTTTTCATTACAATTGTTTAAATAATAAATGTTTTTGAATAGGAAAACAAGAACACCGTACACAAGCATTGTTTAACCATACTGAGGAGTATGTAATGTATCCAGATGAAGTCACTTCAACTTTGTGCACGTGGAATTCACGGAATGCCTATCGGCAGCAACTTTTATCACTAGGTAATTAATTTTGCCAAATGCATTTATTTTATTTAAATATTTTTATTATGAATTATTTTGCAGGCCATAATGGACCTATTCGTTCAATAGTGCATTCTCCAAATTCAGCAGCGTTTTTGACTTGTTCGGACGACTTTAAAGCCCGTTTTTGGTACAAAGAACACTTGGTTAGAGAATAAATTGAATATTTTTAATTTTTACATAAAAAATTATTTATTTATTTAATTAATTCTGAATTGATATATAATAGACATTGATAAAAATAATAAATCTTACAAAATATATATCCATTGCATCCATTTAATTTTAATTTTTTAATTAAATAATATGGTTTGTGTAATAATTAATAATTTAATATAAAACATATAATTGTGTACAATTTTATGATTAAAAATTAAAAGAAATGTAAATATTTAGTCAAAATTGTTTTTGGGTACGTCTCACCCGTATGAGTTTTCTGCCATCTCACGAATATACGACAAACGTTGGACATAGATTATTTGTATTCAACATTTTCAATGTTGTATAGTAATAGTAGGTATGCTTTGTTTATAAAGCGTATTGACCTATTAATTATGAAATAGAAAACTAAGAAAATTCTTTACTTTTTTTAATTCTTTTATGATATTTTATTTTGAAACTGTTTAAAAATATTGTAAATTTTGTAATATACCTAAAGACATTGTATGCGAATGAGGCGTATCCCCTTATAGTCTTATCTTAAGATAATTAATATGTTTTTTTAGATTTTTGAGTAAATTGWATAAAATGATAATCWGATGTTTAACTTTTCCTTTAAATAATAATAAATATTTTCCATGATCATTTGTACAATAATTTTCCCCACTAAATTCTCAAATGTAAAACTCTAGGCCTACCTATACCTGAAGTTATTATAGATCGAGAGTTATAAACCAAGTCCCAAATAATTAGGTGAATATTGGGGCTCAGTRAATTGAGTTCAAAAAAATCAAACGAGCTAATTAGATTGAGTTCTGAGTAATAATATTATTATTATTATTATTTTTTTAATCATTTATAATTAACAAAAATTTACAAAAAGGAAAAGTCTCTATATTTATAGCTACCTATCTCTATATTACGTAACTTATTATATAATTATTTATAATATACCCTAGATTTAAGACTATCACCTTTTGTAAGACTGTGGTCGTACCTTATCATTCATTTTTAGTAAATTTGCGATCGAAATTATTWTWTTTTTTTTTTCAGTATGTAAATACCTACCTATATTGTATACATTTTATATAATTTTATTTACATTTTTGATTGTAATAGGAACTCGTTTTAAATATAAATGCGAGAAAAGTAAAAGACAAATATCTTTTTAAAGAATGAAAAGACAATTATCGAAAAGCAAATAAATATATTATAATATAGTAAAAAATATAAATTTGACATGTCTATAATAGCTTTTAAAATGTAAGTTCTGTGCATTTACTAATTCTACGTATTGCATTTATACCGTGAATGATTTTGTTCGATTTCATTATTATTATTTAAATAATAAGGAACTGATTACAATAAATCAATCAATAGATTCATTGTTCAATTTATATTAAGTAGGAATAGTTAGTTATTAATAATACACTAATATAGTTTAATTTTTATTCTAATCAATATTGCCTTTTCATAATTTTAAGTTGAATGAGAAATTTAAATTTTTTTAATGATAGCATTTATGCTAAGCTTGAAATGAACATAGAATTAATTGTTCTTATAAATTTGTAATCATCTGAAAACCATTAAAAATGTATGTTATACATTTCAAATCCAATAGGAAAAAAAATGTTTAGTGTKAAACAAAATTAATAAGAAAATAATTACTAGTATTTTATTAATTTATTAATATTTTATATGTAGATAATTGATTCTTGCACTGTATTTATTTAACTGTTTTAGAGTATTTAATCAATGAATTAATTGTGTAAAAGTATTCAATTACCTACTTTTTTTTTCTATTGAATACTTTTTTTGATTCTTATAATTTTTAACTTTTTTCTATTTGTAATCCTTGTTATCTAAAAATTCCATGTTATCGTGGTTAAATATTAAATAATAGTGCAATATCAGTTTTCGTTGATTTATATTAAATGTTTTTCTTCAGGAAACAGTTTATTATTGTCGATGTTGATCAAAACGGTTAGATGGTACCTACCTACCAGTATTATAGCTGTATACAGCTGTTAAGCAAAAGCKTATTTGCTTATATCTTCTATTATTGACTATAAAATGATACTTTATAGTTTAAATATATTTCAAGTTTTATTAGTTATTATTACCAATTAATTAGGACTAAATATTAATATTATCAATTATTATAAACATTTATCGTTGACAACAATCGAGATTGATGACGTATATGATTATATATTAGTTAGACGTTTACGTCTACAATCATAATTTGTACTATAGTGAGAGAACTTTAGTAGAAATTGCCAAACACGCAATATACCAGCTTCACGGTGTTCAGTCGCTTGTTTGATGCATTTTGAATTCAAGATATATTTTGTTTTTAAATTTTTTGTAGGTTGTGGACCATCCCCTAGATGAGTAACCATAGTATTGTAAGTATTTTACACTCAGTTAACACATTTKATCTGGTAATTAAAATCAACATTATTATATTATTATTGATTGAATAAGAACTTACTTCTGATTTAGGTCAATTTATACTGTGTTATTGATGTAGAAAATGCAATTATTATTTATTATTGGGTACTATTATTATTATTATTTCTTTAGAAATTTACCAGTTGGTCAATATATATGTAAATTACAGAAAAACAATTCTAATAAAAAAATAATAAAAGAGAAATTGACTTATCAATCAGTAGGACAAAAATATAATTGTGTAGAATTGAGTAACTAATTATTAGTTATCTAAGGTGTAACGGTGTAAGTATTTTAGATTATTATGTAAAATAATAACATTGGAAAAAACCTAACCAAGGAAAACCCATAAATTTGGATATTTAACAGAAAATTGGTACCCTGAAGTATATGGAAACATTCAAGGTTATTATTTATCCTTCTTGGAATGTTATTCACTGATAAAATATTTACGACAACAAGTATTATCCAATAGCTGTAAATAGAATAAAAAATAAAATAGTAAGTAGTTTAATTTTTTAATTTTAATCGGTTTAATTATATTTAATTTTTCTAGGATTAAATTACCTTTGGTAATAGTAAAAAATATTTGACATTGGAACATTATAATAAGTAGCATATTATRCTTTAATGAGCAAAAATCCTTACTCTTGGTAATAAAGGCAAATATATAAGCATTCTTAAAGCCTTTAATGCATACTGATTTATATAAACAGTTTCTAAATAGTTGGAAGATTTAATTTTYTTTCATACAGTCTAAATGATAATTTAAACAAAAATAAGCTGGTAAATATTGAAAAAATAAAAATAAAAATTTATATTTACAATGATAAATAGGTTAAATTGGTTTAAAGTTGTAGAATATTTTGTTTGTAAATAATATAATAATAATGTACCAACATATAATAATGTACCAAAGATGAAAATACGATTGCTGTCCTAATGCGGCCCTCACACGATCAATTTTACTGACAGTATTTTTGATACTGACAGTATTATTGATCGTGTAATGTGAGTACTGATGTACTGTCAGTATGGAAAAACGATACTGATGACTGATGAAAAATTCGGATATCGAGTCGTCAGTATTTGTTTACTGATGATAATATTGATAGTGTGAGGTCGATATTGACACTTCGTCAGTATTGACATCGCA